TATTTATATTAGTTAAATGAAAACTCCTTGGTGAATTTAAATTATGAATAAGATATATTAAGGGCACCCTTGTCTGAAGAAAAAGTTTTTCGATGAATAATGAATTTTTACAAGAATTGTTTTCATTTTCTTTAAATTTTAATTAGAAAAAAATATTTTTAAATATTTTAAAATACTGTATTAATTATAGCCTTTTAGATGATTACATTAAGTGAAAACTGTATTTGTTAATAAATGGAAAAGCTTAATACAAATTATCAAACAACAATATTTAAAAAAAAAAGTATATGTGCATAAACGAGATGATTTTTGTTAGTATGGGCGATCATACACGACATTATCAGAAAACAAGAACGATAAATTTAAGGTCAACAAAAAGTCAATAAAACCTTAGATTACGGAGAATATTTTACTACATTCTAACGATTACTGAGTACTTACAAATTATATAAAAAAGGCGATCACGTCATATTCTTCAATTATAATAAAGCTCTAATTAAGCCGTCCACAAATCAAAACAGTTACTGTAGGGTTAAAAACACACCTACTGCCATGTTAAAAAGATGTTTTTTTTTTTTTTAAATCAGATTAATTATATTTTAAATCAGCTAATATTCTTCAAATAAATTTACAGAAAAGAATATTTTATTTTTGAAAATTTTTTAATAAAGAGAATTACATTGTGATGAAAAGGACACTAATCAGCTATCTTAGGAAAAAAAGAAACTTTTTCCAGTCGATTTTTTGAAATACAGAAAATATTTTACTTATTGACATTATTAAATTTAATCTATCAGCTTGAAATTAAAAGTAAAATTAAAGGTTCAAGAAAGATTTTTCATTTTATAAAATCTATTTTACACCTTTTTTCTGAAGGTCCCTACTTTAACCTGATGAAGTCCTTTGAAAGGACGAAACACGTTACGTAAAGCTTTCCATTTTGTCCAGCAATTATCAAACATTGTTCTGATATATATATATATATATATATATATATATATATATATATATATATATATATATATATTAAAAAAAAACAGACCACTTTAAGGTACCATTATAATAATTTATTTCACCAGAGCCCTTTTAAAGAACGCCGGATCATCAGATAGCAATTCCAAAAATGAAACGAAAAATGAAATTAAAATTGATGGGTAGTGTAAGTTTTTGTAATTTAACACAGAGTGTAAAAGGAGTAGTTAAAGAGACATGGTAGAGTATAGGGAGGGATTCATTTTATATCTCTCTCAATCATACTTAGTATTGGGGGGAGAGGACCAAAGCTTGACCTATTTAGACGGTTAACTTAACGGAAGTGATATACAGAAATGAGAGGGGAGAAGAAAGAAAAGAAAAAGAAAAAAGAAAGAGAGAGAGGGAAGTAAAGAGAAAGAGGCTGTAATTGGGTTTTAGCAATTTATGTAAAGAATAGAATTTAATGCTTGATAGTAATTTAGATGTCTAAAAAAAACGAAGAAATTAATATGATCCTTGCTATCAATTTAAATATTTAATTTTTTTTAAAAATAGTTTAGGGATTTAATATAAGTTAAATACTATATTTATTAACACATTTATAGAGAACATATTAAAAAAAATTCGATTATAACAGTCTGTTTACCCGACCAATCGTACTTTTTTTATTATTGTAAAAAACAGTTACGGTAACATCTTTATCAGTTTGAATGTAATTTATGAATGTAATTTGTAAATATTTTTATAATTTTTTTTTTTTTTAATATTAGCTCTGGATTTACATTGAGCACTCAGAATTTCATCCTCCTTGGGATGATTACCCATACGGATTACCAAGTTCTGCATAACTTTTTCTTTTCCAAAGAAATTTAGTGGCATCTTCTCTCATGACTTCCTTCTCTCTTTTTCTTTTTATGGGTTTTTTTCTCCTCTACCCCTTCGATATCAGTATATAACTTCCGTTAAGTTAACCGTTTAAATGTGTCAATATCTGGACATCAAGTAATTTTAAGTATGAAAGAATAGAAATTTTAAATTACATCTAACTCACTGATGTCTTCTTTCTCCCCCCCCTCCTCACTTCCTCACTTCGTTAATTTACATATGCTTAATACGGCCCGTCAAAAATGTGTAAATTTCTTTTCATGTTTTGTTTCAACCTTTGGAAGTAAAGTCTGATGATTCGCAGTCTTTTGAAAGGGCTGTGGTGAAATAATTTATTACATGGAACCTTAAAGTGGTCAGTTTTTTTATATATATATATATATATATATATATATATATATATATATATATATATATATATATTTCTTTGTTCTTGAGAATTCACAACAAAAAAGAGTAATGACTATTTATTTAGTGGACTGTTTATTGGAATGATTGCCAACTCATTCAAACTTTCTAAATTTAATAAATAAGGATTTCCTTATAGTTGTTTTTTATATTTTAATAGGTAAATGTTTATAAATTTAAGAATAAAAATTTGTTTTTGTATGTATTGCTTTATAAATTCGGAAATGATTGCATTACATTAGTTTTGTTTATTAGCTCTTAGAATGTTGTAAATCTCAATTTATTCCAGTCGTAAATAAACAGCCTGATAAACATGTTTAAGTCTTATTAAAATTCTAATCCTAGCTTTTTAAAGCATTGAACGTTTTTAACATAATAGGGGCGTCACTGGAAAACAAACAAAAAAAAAAAAACGCCATTTTTGAAACTTTGTTTTTCTAAGGTCCAAGTTTGTCGAATGATTATTCAAAATGCTCAGCCTTGACCTTTTGCCAGACTAGGCAAGTTTAGTTAATATCAACACCTACATTTAACTAAACCCCCTCCTGACATATAAATAAATAAAAGAATGGAAAAATACGTTAGAGCGCGCTTATTCGGATATACCCGATATGTGGTCACGCACCTCCCACACGCACGGAGAGGGTCGCGCTTACACACCCAGAAAAAAAAACAAAAAAAACTTGAGGCGAAACATTTATATACACTTTTGTCCACTGAACCTACAACTCTAATTTTCTCGGTCAGACGAAGGGTTTCGCCCACGCCAACCCGACCATTACGATCAGATGCCCGACCCTAGCGTTCCGTATCGGTCAGGGACCCCGCCACCTTTATCGTTTTTTTTTTTTTTTTTTTTTTAAGACGTGTTTGACTACATTTTTTTTCTTTATTTTTTTCTTTCTTCATATCCTCCTCTCTCTTAACTCTCTGCGTCTGCTCCACCTCCCTTCTACAACCCCAAGCTCCCAGGCCTATTGCCACTACGGTCATAGGCGCGTTGTTTGGTTTTTGCTGTTGTTGTCGTCCCATTTTATCCATTCAATTCGCATTTCTTTCTTTTTTTTTCTTCTATTTTTAACCTTCCTTCCATCAGTAACTCTTGTTTCGTTCGACCTCTTCCAGTCAATTTGCCTTTCTCTCTCCCTCATCAGTCTACATTTTTTTCATCCTTTTTCTCTATTAGTCTTTATCATTTTTTTTTTCGAGGAGGTGCTGGAAAGTTTCCCCGTCCGACTCACTTCTCAAAATTAAAAAAAATGACCAAATATATATATATATATATATATATATATATATATATATATATATATATATATATATACAGTAAGTAAAGGGGGGGCTTTCAAAGTTGGACCGAGAACTTTTCGTTTTCTCTCTTCGATCTCTTTTCCTGCCCTTTTCTCACATACTATTTTTCTGTACTCTTCTTAATTTTGATCTCTTTTTCTTATTTTGTTCTACTCCCCCTTTTTTTCTTATTTCCCTTTCAGGTCTCTCCTTTTATTTCTTAATGTTTATTTTAGCGTTTCTTTTAAATGTTAGCTTTTCTGGTGTATTTTTCTTTCTTTTTTATTTCGGTATTCAGAATATTTGGCTTTTTTTTTATTTCCATCATATCATTTTTTTTCTCTTTCCCTTTTTCTCGGACACACCCTTCTTCTTCTTCTTCTTCTTCTTCTTATTATTATTATTATTATTATTATAACTTCCTTCTTCTTCTTCTTATTATTATTATTATTGCTATTATTATAATTTCCTTCTTTTTCTTCTTTTTTTTCTTTTCTTTTTCCTATTATTATTACATTTACTTTCTTTTCTCTCTTTCATTTCTTTTTTTTTTCCTCATTCTTCTCTTACGACATGCCCTTTCTCTCTCTCTTTCTTTCTCTTTCCTTCTTTCTTTTAATTAGTGTCTCTTACGTGGCTTTCAGTTTTTATTTCTTCTTCTTCTATCCTCCTCTTCCTTCTTCTTCTTCTTCTTCTTTCTTATTTCTCTATTCCTCCTCCTCCTCCTCCTTCTTCTTCTTCTTCTTCTTCTCGTTGCGAAGTTTCTCCTCTCTTTCTTTTCGTTCGTCGAGTTTAATGTTTTTTTTTAATTCATTTGTCATACTTTCTTCCATTCTTTTTCGAACCTTAAAGAATTCTCTTATCCTCTCTCCAATTCCTTTCCAATAATCAGTCTCTTTTGCCGTCTTTTAGACTCTCTTCTCGTCTCTCTTAATTCTAAAGTTCTTTAACTTTCTGTCTTCAACATTAAAACCTTCCGGCGTTCTCTTATCAATGCTGCTATTCGTTTTGTTTTTTTGTTTATTTGTTTGTTTTTTTCTTGAATTTTTTCTTTTCCTTTTCCCTTCTTTCTTTTTTTCTTTTTATTCTTCCCTTTTCGTTCTTCTTTCGTCGTATCAAGAATAATCGTTGACGCTTCTGACATTTTAACGTCTTTGATCTCTTATCTGTCTTTCGCTTTTTTTGATATTTTTTTTGTCTTTTTCTCTTTCATTTTTGTCTTTTTTTCGATGTATAGACATTCGCTTTTTTCTTTTCGACCACTCCTTGTTTTCAAGAATTTATATTCTATTACGTTTAGGCCGTTTCCTTCTTTTTTAATTTATTTATATTTATTTTTTTTTTTACCAAACTGGTTTCGCCAAAAAAAAAAAAAAAAAAAAAAAATCTTTCACGATTTTTCTTTCCTCTTTTTTTTTCTTTTTTTTTGTAAATATCAATTAATGTATTTTTATTTTATACAATTTATTTCTTTTTATTTTTTTATTTTATTTTCCACATTTATTATCACAGTTCTTTTGTTTTGCCGGGCCTCCATTTTTTTTTCTTTTTCTTTTTCTTTTTTTTTTTTTTTTTTGGTGTGGGATTTTTCGTCCGTTTCCTGTGTTGCTTTTTTTTCTCTCTTTTCATTTCTTTTTTCTCTCCCTTTTCTTTCCCCTTTAACCATCAGACCCCACCACACCCATTTCCAGACCTATTTTTTTGACATTCTTTATTACGTCCGGCTGTGTGACCACTGAATGACCTTCTACTTATATGAATAACGCTTGGACACAGTTGTAGGTTTGAGTGAGTGGGAAAAGGTGTCTAGTTTGTCAATGTGGGAGGACTGCCAGTCGGGCATGTGTTTAATCATTTTCCATGACCCTATTTTCTATTCATTTAAAAAAAAAAAAAACTGTCTCGCCTGTTGGTTAACGAAAAAAAGCGCTTTCTATATCTAGTTATGTTTTCTTCAGTCTGGCACAAGGCTAGGAATATGAAGCACCAAGGAAAATCGAACCTAATAATATCAGTAACTCAGCAAATTATCTGGTTACCATTCCCCATTACAGATCGATTATTTAATAAGCGGATCTTTGTCTTTTACAAAACCACAGGTCTGGAAGAATTTGGCATGGATCGAAATCAATACACGACGATACTAATCCGAGAACTGTTCTTAAGACCAGAATAGACATCTCGTTTGGAATAAAAAATATTGATATATTGGAAAATTCATTTCAAATTAATGGGGGTGTAGAGGTTGGAATAAAATGCTAGGTTGTAAAAAAACGTCGGTATAAGTAGGAGATACGGTGAAGTAATGGATAATGGCAGGGATTGAAGTATCGAAGAGCCGAGTTCGAATTCCAGTCGAATCCATTACATTTATTTTCGTGCTAATACCCTTGGGAAAGGTATGAATCCGCTTCTTCTCCCTCCAGCTATGGGTAAAATAGCAGGACAGACTGGGTTCTATAGCCTTTGATGGCAGCTGGTCTACCGTAGAAAGAAATAACAACCGACTGCGGAAAAAAATCTGCCTCGAAAGATACATAATCGCCTAAGCGTGCATCACGCATGATAAGTGTAACTCGGATATAAGAGAAACCCGGATATAAGAGAGATTTTCTCTGGTCCCAAATTAGAGCCTGTGTTAATGTATATAAAATAGACCAAACCCGGATATAAGAGAAACCCGTATATAAGAGACTTCTCCGGTCCCGACAACTCTCTTATATCCGGGTTACACTACATAACTGACTGACTTTTCAGTCGAATCCATTACATTCACTTACGTGCTAATACCCTTGGGAAAGGTAGGAATCCTATTCTTCTCCCCCAAGTTATGGGTATACAGCAGGACAGACCGGGTTCTATAGCCTTGGATGGCAACTGTTCTACCGCAGAAAGAAATGGCAACCTACTGCGGAAAAAAATCAGTCATGTATCGAAAGATACATGATCGCCCAAGCGTGTATCACGCATAGCACATAACTGACTGACTGAATCCATTGAATCCATTACATTCGCTTACGTGCTAAAACCCTTGGGGAAGGTATGCATCCTCTTCTCCCCCTAGTTATGGGTAAATAGCAGGACAGACCGAGTTATATAACCTTGGATGGCAACTAGTCTACCGCAGAAAGAAATGGCAACCTACTGCGGGAAAAAATCCGCCCCTTCAGTCATGTATATAAAGATACATGATCGTCTAAAGATAGATGATCACGGATGGCACATAACTGACTGATGATATCGAGGCGGAAGGTGTTTTTGCTAATGTTCACCCAATACAAGGCCCACGAGCCACTCAAGGTAGAGGGTTACTATGTGATGTTGTATTAGCGTCGGAAAGTGCAAGATAAGAGGAAAGACAGCTAATTCTAGACTTGAAAGGGTCAAGATTTAATTTGTGAATAGAAGTTCAAAGTTCAGGCGGAAACGTTAGAAGTCTGCAGTTGAAGTAAACTTTAGAAGGGATCGAAGAGCCAACCCTAAATAGGAAACAAGTGGTGAACCTTTAGGATCCCGCTCCCACTTTCTTATCAATGTTGAATTTTACCCAGCTTCAGACAGATTTTCAGGAAATATCAGCTTCTAATTGGTCAATAAACACACAAGTGGCCGTTGCTTTCCACCCGCGTACAAATATTTTTTTCCAGCGCGTGACCAAATCAAGTTTTCCCGCCAAGTTCTTTCGATCCTGTCAGGTGGTTACATTAATTATAAATAACACCAGCTTGTTCACTCTCTCTTTCCATTCTCGCTACAAGATGTAGTTGTAAAAGGATTCTCGTCTCGACCATGGGCGGTCTGACGTTAAACGCATATTCACGCATGCGCGTACATACAAAATTTTCCAAACTACATTACAAACATACAAAGCATTTCCAAACAAGCAACAAGAACTTTTCTCTTTGAAATACTTTTCTTAAGTTACAGTTTATTCAGCATTTCTCAGCTTAATAATTCACTCAACGTTTGTGAGCGCAGATTCAGTCAAAGGGACATAACACCTACAAAATATTAACTTCTACGCATGTATATCATTACACAAAAAGTAATATAAATGTTTCTTGTTATAAAACTGTTTTTATTCCTTCTTGCTTATAAATTCTGATTTTTCCGTCTTCTCATCTGATTGGGCTTCCGATTCTTCTAAATTCTAACCCGAATCTTTACTTCTAATATTTCTGTTTAAATTCTGACATTTATACTATCTACTTAATTCCTCAATAGGAATAGATAGGTTCATCTATCGTCCGGACTGTACTCTTTCCGGGTATTTTGAACAGGAGTAGAATTATATCCCTTGTTTTCTTTTTAGGATTGGTATTCCGGTTCCATCTAAAGTCTACCTGAACTCTATACGTCTAACGTCACTACCTAAAACTCTGAAAAAGTTATTCATCATTTACTGATTCCTTTTTTTCTCAATTGGTGTAGCTAAGTTGGTTCATCATTCGACTCAGACTTTTTTCCGATCAAAAGTAGAATTTCCTCTGTTGTTTCCTGCCGCATTGTGTTTCCGGTTCCTTCTAAAGTCATTTCCTTCTCTTTCACTTCCGGTCTTATTGTGTCTGAGTGGCGTTATCGCCTTGCTTTGGGTGAATAGATTCAAAATGTTTCTACATGAAATGTCATTTACCTTGAAAAGTTGTCAAGATGCTGAACAAGTGCTAGTCAGTGGGCGAGAGATCAGGGGAATACGGTAAATGTGGCAAAGTCTCGTCTGTCATGTCGATGAGCTTCTGCAGGGCTATCCTGAGAACATGTGGCCGGGAATTGTCCTGAAGCAGAATTGCACCTCGTCGATGCAGTGCGATTGTGGGTAGAGTACTGAAATCTGTAATGAATAACACGAAAGGCGGACCACCAAAATTATTCTTTTTTCCTATTTCGGCTCTGGAAAGTGTATGGGTCCTTCGTCATAATGAAACCAACAATTCTTTGAAAGCAGTTTCTACATCTTCTTTGCGACAGAATGACTTCTGTCTTTTAAATAATGTGAAGGTGCTTGAAAAATTGGTTGTCAGTGGGCGAGAGATCAGGGGAATATGGTAAATGTGGCAAAGTCTCGTCTGTCAAGTCGGTGAACTCCTGCAAGTTCATCCTAGTAACATATAGCCGGGAATTATCATGAAGCAGAATTGAACTTCGTCGATTAATCAGTCAACGAAAGCAGTGAGGTTCTGGTTAGATTTCTGAAATCTGTAATGGATAATGCCAAAGGCGAACTACCAAAATGTCTCTGCAAATTCGTTTCTGAAAAATGTCTGGGTCCTTCGACATGATGAAGCCATTGAGGTGATCGTCTATAATTGTCGTAAAGGATCCACTTATCATCACAAATAATTATTTGATCAAGAAATGCATGATTCAAATTTCGCAGATGAAGCCTTGAACACATTTCACATAATCGGTATGAAACACATTTATTGAATTTCTTCACCTTGCCATTCTTAGAGAAAGTTTCGATATTGTTAAAATGCTGGCACCCATTATCTGAGGCATTTTTCTGTCACATTTAATTGGGTTTTGTTCGAGTAATGTTCTCAGATGTTGATTGTCAATTGCGGATTTCAATCTTTCCCCACTTTTATCTTCAAGACTCGTATCCCCACTGTGGAACTTCAGAAACCAGCGCCGTACAATTCAAACGCAAGTGGATCTTTCACGCCACACTCGGTACCGAATGCGACTTTCCACGTTTATAATAGCTACACGCACACCCAATGAAAAGTTTAAATCTTTAATATTGTTTAAAGCTACACCTTATCAGGAAATGAGAACGTGACTCACTACAGTTGCATTTTATTTATCATCCGAGAGTTACCATGATTTTGGGGAAAGTTAGTAAAGTGCTTACTCTTTGGTTTCTTCAACAAAACCAGCGGCATAATGTCCAATCACAGGTGGATACTTCACATCATATTCTTTTAATATAGACCGCAGATTGAGTAGCATTATGTCCAAGCTTGAACACATGCAAAAATATAAACGCATCTCCTGTATTTTCCTATTAAATGGAGTTGTATAAAGTTTTAAGTTAAATTCTGAAAGGGATTGATATAAAATAGAAAAAAGTTCTTCCGAAAGCCTAATATCAGTACCCTATAAAATATGTCATATATATATATATATATATATATATATATATATATATGAAGAAATATAGTCTTGAGGTGTGCTATAGTTATGGGATAAAGTACTCAATATCAGAGATATAGCGTGTGTAAATATAAAAGTGAACATAGAAGTCAACACTTAGAGGCGACAGTCTGTTTCATGCTATATGCAATCGTCAGGCCTGATGATTGCATATAGCATATAGCATGAAACAGACTGTCGCCTCTAAGTATTGACTTTATTTCTTTATATATATATATATATATATATATATATATATGTGTGTGTGTATGTGTATATATATATATATATATATATATATATATATATATATATATATATATATATATATATAGAGAGAGAGAGAGAGAGAGAGAGATATAACGTCATCCACAGATGACAGTTTCACAACTCATCAGTGTGACTAGACATCTGGTTGCCTCTAGCTAGGATATATATATTGATAATATTAATGGTCAATATATATATATATATATATATATATATATATATATATATATACATAAATTCCCAAGAGAATAGAATCCAGGTAGAACTCACTGTCCAGGACAGAGTGAGAATATAATATAAAAAGGCTCAAATACTAATATTCATTGGTTATAATTTATTAGATTGCAATCGTAATCACGATCCAATTCATCAAACCTACAAATTCAAAAAGAAATATAACTCCGGGTAAAAAAAAAAAAAAAAAATTGGTGAGAGTGAGAAACTAGGGTGAAAGGGAAATATATGACAATTCTAGAGAGAGGTGTGTCGGAAGAAAGAATAACAGGAAAGACCTAAAAAGGTGACGGTGGGTAATAAAATTTGAAAGAGAAATTTTTAAAGAGATATATATATATATATATATATATATATATATATATATATATATATATATATATATATGTGTGTGTGTGTGTATGTATGTATGTAAATATATGAATTGCACATAGACAGCTGGTGTTATTGAAGCAGTGCTTAATGTTATATAACAGAGCTATAAAGTATATCTCTATATAAAATACGCCACACACACACACACATCTATATATCTATATCTATATATATATATATATATGTGTGTGTGTGTGTGTTTTTGTGTGTGCAACAATTGAGGAGCAGCATGTAAAATAACGATGAACCACCCCGTGCTGTGCTAACTTTGTCCAGTTGATGCGTACTTATATTATTGAAGAGGGTTCATATATACAATACGTCAGATATATCTTCAAGAACGCTTTGCTCATCTCGAGAAATGAATTTTAAAATTTAAATTCATACTTGACAAATAGCGTCGGGCGATGAACAATCTCTCTATCTCTCTTTTTCTTTCTCTCTCTCTATCTATATATATCTATATATATATATATATATATATATATATATATATATATATATATATATACATATGCATTCGGATCCTTTCTTGCGTGCTAATACTATTATTAATCCTCTTCTTCTCCCGCCAGCTATGGCTACATTGCATGACAGACTGGGTTCTATAGAACAAACAGACTGGTATAGGAGAAGGGCAACTCTGAATTCAAAACCTGCGGAGGGTCGTTTGGGGACCTTGTGGCACGTAGTGCACCAGGTCTCTGTATTCGGCCCTTCAAAAAGTGTGGTTGGTTCTGCACAAAGCCTTTACCACCATAATCAAATCATATGTGCTGGTGTCGGGCTGTCGGTTCCTAAGAACTGAGCCGTTTGACCCTCATACGCCGAATACGATCATATATATATATATATATATATATATATATATATATATATATATATATATATATATATATATAAGCTAGTATATTCCATGACTGCACTTGATGAAATGGCGGGAATTAGGGGTACTGAGTGCTGTGTCCGGGCGGAATAAATGGCTGTCCGTAGCAGAAAAATAAGAAACGAACAAGAAGAAAATGATTTAGAAGAACGATAACCAATAGTCCCTGTCCGCCTCTCAGTCACTCTTCTCTTGTTCTATCCTCCCCAACCTTTGTTCCTCTTTCCCCTGCTCTCATTCCTCTATCTCTCGGCGCTGTCTACTCATGACATTCCAATCATCTCTGCAACCATCTTTTCGACATTCGTCCGGACGTCTTTCTACATGTTTTTTCTTCATCTTTTTTCTAACTCCTCTGTCCCTTTTTTTTTTAAGGCCTTGATGATGGTGGGGGTTAGAAGTGCCCCCCACTCCCACCGCCCGAGAAAAAAAAATCGTTCAGTATACCCATTCACCCCTTTTACACGCCCTCAACCCTCTCACGTTGGTCTGGCTGATCGGACGTCTGCTCGGACATCGGCTGAAGGAGAGCGAATGACTTAGAATAACAGTCGACGTTCCCAAGCGGACTCCATCATATATTTGTATAAGCAGTAGAGTAGACATTAATAGAGGCAGAGGGAAAGCAAGAAGAGAAAAAAGATAAAAAAAAAAAAAGTAGTTAATGTTGATGTGGTAGGTGGTGTGATATAAAACCGGGTAGTCGAAGGGTGTCTACCATCGGTTGAAGGAGATTGAGATGTTGGAGTGGTGGGGTCGAGACGAGACGAGACGAGACGTTGGGGTGAATTTTGTTTTGGGTGGAAGGGAGAGTTTGTAAAGAGTGGTTATTTTTCAAGAAGATCAGGGCAGCGTATGTCTGAAAGGAAGATGGGGAAAAGGCGGGTAGTTGAGATTAATGATTGACCTAGTTCTTATAATTACTGACCTATTTCTGTCAGAGAGTCTCTTCTTTCGTTCAGCTTCCTCGCCCGCCACTTTTGGCAGTAGGGGTGTGCTAAGTCCGGTCAGACCCGCACAATTTTTTCTTCTCCTTCTCACACCATATCTTTTTCTTTTTTTTTTTTCTTTGGACATAGATTTCGTTTGAACACACACACATGGTTCATCATATAGACTTTGGTTCTCTTTTTTTTATCTCTCTTTTAGATTTTTCCGAAGGCATTTATATTCACAGAAAAAAAAACGAAAAACATTTGAATAGGTATCAAATGAAAAAGCGTTAGAATTTCAAATCAATGGTGTTTTCTCATATAAATCTAATATCTGTACAACACATCCCACGTTCTTTTTCCCATTTTTTTTTTCACTTTTAAAAGCATCAGGAGCATTTTAACGGATGTGTCGGTAGGCACGTTGGAGCAATGGGTAGCGATTCAGACTGAGGGATCGGAGATGCGAGTTCGAATTCCAGTCGAATCCATTACATTCACTTATACGTGCTAATACCCTTGGGAAAGGTATGAATCCTCTTCTTCTCCCCCTCAGCTATAGAAAAATAGCAGGACAGACCGGGTTCTATATGCTTGGATGGATGGCAATTGGTCTACCGCGGGGAAAAAAAAATCTGCCTCGTCAGTCATGTATGGCCCATAACTGACTGACTGGCATCGTAACGATTCACAGCACAGAAATCAGCAAACCGGGTTCGAATTTCGATTGAAATCGTAATATCTATTTTCGTACAACTCTTCTTTTTTATGTGCCGTGTCCCTTCAGGACTTAAGCGGACATGGCTCTCCACTTCCTCCTATCCTTTGTAGCTCTCGATAAGTTTTGTTTTGTCTATTTGCTACTTCCACAGGCCATGTTTTGCCATCCACTTGCTTAAGCCCGATAGGTATGTCATGCGTAACCTTCCCTTGTCTCTCTTGCCCTCTATTCGCCTTGTGAGTATCAGATTCTCCAAGCCGTTCTTTCTCAATACTTGTCCCAGAAATTTCAGCTGCCTCTTCATGATGTTAAGTATAAACTTCTTCCTTGTTTGCATCAAACCTCCAAAACTTCATCGTTGCTCACACGCTTGGTCCATGGCATCCTTAGCATCCATCTGTAGAGTCATACCTCTAGACCCTTCTTCATCTTTGAGGAGAGCGTCCTACATACGCTGCCGTAAAAGAGGAGAGACTGTTACGAAAAGAATCATTCCCTTTCTTTTTTTTTCATATTACTAGCTAGACGGCCTACCTGGGTTCTTTTGTCTTGAAATGACAACCAATCCAGGAGAAGGAAAACTGAATTCAAACCAATCCTGCAGAAGGCTTAGGCTCCTTCAAGTTAATTTAACGTCGACACACGACATCTGATCTATCTGCAATAGTTTCATTGTTTTCATTTAAGCAAAAATACAAAGTTCGTAATTCAAAACCCACCTCTTCTACCCAAAGTGGCCTTATGATGGCAACCAGTTTAGAAGAAGGAAAAATCTGAATTCAAAACAAGCGTGAAAAGGGATGGGTTCCGTCAGGGCATTTTATAGACACGTGCTATGTCATCAGTATTTTCATTATGTCTATTTTCGCAAAAATTACCCAGGGGAAAGCTATAATTCCATCATTCTTCTTCCAACATATCTTTAGGTGGCAATCAATGTACGAGAAGGAAAATTTTGAATTCAATATCATCATAACGGTCTATATCTCTGACATGAGGTATTATGGTTACTTGCATTATTTACATTATTCGGACTGTTATCCTCATCTTCATTGCCATTTTCACAACGTTTCGGCCGTTGTACGCTCCGGCCTTCTTCAGGTGATTGGAATTTCGAACCGAAACTTTTATTTCGTCCACCGGGGTAGATTGTTCTAGTTCCACGTGCCATGCCTCTGACGGATGTCTCAGTTATTTCCTTTTAATTAAACTCTCCAAGTTTTGGTTCACAACTGCTGTGGACTGGTATTGAACTCACGACTCATAGAAATGAATACAATATAGGAACCAGTAATAAGTAGTACTAGAGAAAAGCAATGAATACCAACAAAAAATTGCAATATAAGCTCTGAAAGAAAAATGCAATAATAATAACCAAAATAGCAATATGAGCACTCGTAAAAAATGTTGCTGAGACATTCGATTTATAAGATTCAAAAATCTACAAACTACATATCTAAAAGCATACCTTTACTCTGAAAGTATAAAATGATGTAAAAAATATTTATATTTCGGCATTAAATAACCCATAGAGGTGTTGACATGCCGGCAAATAAAATCAACGAAACATGAAATAACTCTTTTAGGGCATCCATATAATATACTAACTTAAAACGAAATGACCAGCAAAACATTTTATCTATAGTTGGAGGCACAAAATTAGATTCCAAATATTTAGATTTTGGATATTAAATAACCCATAGAAGTGTTGATATGCCTCTAAAAATCAACCAACTAATATTAAGGTATGTCTACCTTGGTCTCATAATGGTAGATACATTTTATGAAAGACATGTATGTGTTTTTTCTTAAAGTATGATGTCCTGGATATGATATGCTAACATACGACAGCAAGGCTTCTGAAGAGGAGCCTTTTGAGGAGTGTGGAACTATCTTAATTTTTCCCAAGTCTACGCTGACCCTGAGTGGCAGCACCTGTTAGGGTTCCGGCTGTGGGCAAATATCGAACTAGCAAACAAGAATCAACAGCCCATTTTTATAATAAAATGAGCAACAATACTTTTTTTTATCGCAAAATGGCAATAAATGCATCTCTGAGCAAATATAAAAATAATTTTTTATTATAAAATCTCCAAGACCTTTTAGGGTCCCAACAATGAGCAAACCGTGAACCCCAAAAGAAAACCCTATGAAAGTTTAAACATACATTTTTATATAGATACATTATAAAAAAAAATACCAATATTAAAATTACCAACATTTAAAAAACAACATGACCAACAATAAATTTTATCTTTAGTTGAAGTCATAAAATTGTGTTCAAAATATTTAGATTTCGACATTAAATGATATATAGAGGTATATATATATATATATATATATATATATATATATATATATATATATATATATAATGAAATGGATTAAGTCCGGCAATTATTTAATATATTTTCTGTTTATACGTTATTTTTATAGGTGCATTTTATTTTTAGTAAATGTATTGCTTTTAATTAAACATTATTGATTACATTTACTGGCCTGAATGTCCGAGAATGCGGAAAGCATCATTTGATCTGACGTGCTATCCTATTTAGCTACAGTGAAGCGTCTAGTTAGCAAAGTACAAATGACTGTTTTTTAACACACAATCTTCGACGATTTTTCTCGATCGATGATATCTCCTCATGAAACGTATCTTAACGTAAGCAATGACAACATATATGGGATATCTATATATAACTTTATATAAGAATAATTTTAGGAAAAAGAAATAGGGCAAAGTAGAATAAGTTTTCGTGCGACGCGTTTAGTTCTTTAGGACGTCATGGGGCTAAATTAGTTACAACCGTGAGAATTTCAAATTTAAAAATAACTTCTTTTTTTTTTTTTTTTAATATGCGTTTTTAGTATATAATCTCTATGATTTAATTTTCTTCTATTATCAAAATCACAAAATGTAATAACAAAAGTGATGGACACTTAAAGAAAAAGAAAAAGAATCTAAATTAATTTTCTTATCAATAATGGGTGTTGACGGGCACCTTGTTCTTTCGTCGTGCATCGTACTTGTCCAGCCATTTTTAAACTCCTCGTTCCAATCATGCATCATTCTACGAGGTACTGCACTGTCGTCCTATTGTGGTAAAGGCCTCCGATGAATTTTAGCCCCAAACACAAATCCTGATCAGAGAAATCGGATCACTGCTCTTTGTTCCTCTTTGGTGCACACTGATAGCGAAGCGGCTATGTTTATACTGTAACAGGTTTGGGTATCATCCAATGGGGTTAGTAGAAACAAAAAAAAATCTGCATACCAACACTAAGTTCAATCGCAAATCCGTTGTAAACAGTCCATCAGGCAACGTAGTGATGGAAACGGCGTCAGAAATCCAACCTTACCCTCGCAACATTGGAAACGCACTTAAGCTCAAAAATCGTTCTGTTCTTGGTAAGCAAAACAACAACGGCCTTTATTCACCGAGCCATTTTTTTTATTGCCCACGCCAGACAGGGAAGAGAGAACAGTAGCATATTTTGTATGATACTTAAAGCAGCATTTTTTTTTAAACAAATTTCTTTAATTTTACTTCAAATGATATTATGAACTTTCATGAAATTTTTATATCATGGGGTATTTTTGTAGGACCCCCCCCTCTGTGAATATGTGGTATCGTGGTACATGTAGGATTGAATGGTTAGAGATGAGTTCTTGTGGTAAATGGATCAATTGTATTGGATGAATGGATCGTAATTGTGATTAACAAGGATTGGGATAATTAGCGAAGACCAGCCGTTCCTCTTTTCCACTACGGTTATGTTCCAAAATTATTCTATCGTTACAATAATAAATATATTCTTTAATTTTCCGTCGGCAGACCACACAAACTCTTTTTCGGGGGAGGTGATTTTCTCTTTCGTTACACTTTTTT